TAAATTGGACATGATCGGGGTACCGGTTCGGGCAGCTGCCATACAACTTCAAAATTTATTTGGCTATATCTCAGAAACTATAAAAGTTGTGGTATTGAAATTTCACATAAACGAATATATTAGTAGGGCCAATGTGCCTCATAAAAGTCGTTGAAATTACTTGGCTCCTTCTGGCACCTGCCATACAACTTCAAAAGTTATTTGGCTATATTTCAGAAACTATTAAAGCTATGGTATTGAAATTTCGCACAAACGAATATATTAGTAGGGCCAATGTGTCTCATAAAAGTCGTTGAAATTACTTGGCTCCTTCTGGTACCTGCCATACAACTTCAAAAGTTATTTGGCTATATTTCAGAAACTATTAAAGCTATGGTATTGAAATTTCGCACAAACGAATATATTAGTAGGGCCAATGTGTCTCATAAAAGTCGTTGAAATTACTTGGCTCCTTCTGGTACCTGCCGTACAACTTCGAAAGTTATTTGGCTAGTTTCTTAGAAACTATAAAAGCTGTGATATTGAGATTTCACACAAGTGAATATATTAGTAGGACCGATGTGCTTGATAAAATTCGCCAAAATTTGTTGGCTCTTTCTGGTAGCTGCCATACAACTTCAATAGTAGTTTGGCACAACCAGTATTTTGAAAAACACATAGTACTGAAATTTTACGTACTATGTGTTTACGGGTATCACAGAGTTGACAAGGTCAACTCTATTTTTTTTCTCGTTTTTTTTATTTTTTTTTTTAAATATATTTATTAGTATTACACTTATGTTATGGACATTGTACTACAGTATTAACAATTGATAAACCGATATGAGAATTCAGTAATTTTTCAGTTTGTTCTAAGTACAAAAAAATTGTAAAGTGAAGAAAAGAACTTTTTATAATTCGCTAATTAAAAAAAGTTTTTTTAATATTTGCACTCTATCCGTTTCTTCTGCATTTGTACTGGCCGATTGAAATTTTATATTAAAATATGTATAATTGCATATATATACATATATACATATACTTTAGTGAGTAACTAATTTCTATTATGAATTTTACTAATACAACATCATACTTGTGAAATTAATAAGTAATGTGCTTATTGCACTAATAATTTTACTTAATGGAAATTTCTTCATGCAACTGCAGAACAGATGGATGACGTAATCAAAGGAGCGAGTTAAAGGCAGAAAAATTAATTAAAAAATTTTTCTCCTCGAACTGGACCCGAACCAGTGCTCTACTGTGTGTTTCAATAGTAGCAGTCAATGTAAACAAACAAATATTTAGTAATCATGTGGATTACAGTATAAAGCAATGTAGAGAACATTTCGTCGGCAATTTCTTCATGCCTCTGTAGCTCAGTTAGTAGAGCGTCCTCCTAGAAAGCGGTAGGTCACTGGTTCGAGTACAGTTCGAGGAGAAAAATTTTTTAATTAATTTTTCTGCCTTTAATTAATTTCTCTTAGAATTAAGTTTTTTATATATTTCATCCGCTCTTACAGTTACTGCTGTGGAAATTGTCATATTTTGCTGTGGAAATTGTACAATTTTGTACAATTGTTGCTGTGGAAATTGTCATATTTTGAAAGGATATGAACAGAAAAATGCATAAATTTGCTAAATACGACGCAATTATTTAACGACAAATTGAAATTTTAGAAGAATCATGTTTCCGAGATTTTTATGGATACTGAGCGAATATTCCTATATTGTTCGGTATTCATGCACAAATGTCGAAGCAATGATGTAATGTCGTAAATTAAAGAGGAATGTGATTTATTAAAGTGACTCTGAATCTACCTCTTTCTATTACTTATATTTGTTTCCAAATATTTAGAATAATTTTTGTTATATAGACGTAATTTGAAGTTTTAATTACAATTTCTAAAGTTTTTGTTTAACAGTATGCTGAAGCAGAAATAAAATTAGTTTAAGTTACCCACTTCTTTAGAGTAACATTCTTTTAAAATTAATGAAATATCGTCTGAGACACGATTTCTCTAGTTGTTTTTAAATTACTGAAGAGCTTTTTATTGTTTTGTTGTTGGATTATTTTAAATTTTGAAATTTTTAGATTTTGTTGTTCTTCAACACCTTTAAAAAAATTGTTTTGCTGGTAAATTCTTACGTTGTCGTTTTTGTGTATTATATAAGCTTTGGATGTGGTCAGATGCTGCTTACCATAACAATAATTTAAACATAAAAGAAATTTGAATTTGAGGTATTCTATTTGTACATTTATATGAATATTTTTTTTTAATAGTATATGTATAACAAATCCTTCTGTAATAAATATTATACTTTTTTTATTAACAATACTTTACTATTTTTAGTACAGTAATAAATTAGAAAAAAACTCAAAAATAAAAGCAAATAGCACAGAAAATTTATTAATATTATTTTTTTGCTTTGATTTTATTTAAATTATGGGATTTTTATGACAAAGGTATCGTATATGCTACCGCCGCATTAACATTTTTTAACTAATTCTACTAAAATGAAAATAAAAATAAATTAAAATGAATTTAAATATAAAAAATTCATATAAAATTTTTAAATTAAAAATTAATTTAGCAATAAAAAATGGCAGATTGCTTCTATTTGTTTCATTTCGATATTTATTTAAAATTTATGATATTAATAAAAATTCCATTTTAAAATTTATTTTTTGATTTAGTATATGGATAAGTAATTGAGATTACGTGACTATTTCGGAAGCAGCAAATGGGTCTTCATAAAGGAGTGAGGATTAGAAAACATAAAATTAATGTTGAAGCAAACAAGTTATCTAATCGGGCTCAAATGAATCTGTGCCACAAGGGGTGTTCTATTTTTTGATCAAAATATTATTTCAAATATCAAAATACTTTGCTATTGTATTTCGCTAAAACTTGAAAGACAGTGATTCTGAAAGAGTGTGAATATTGGATTGCATTTTATTTTCAAGTCCTTAATTGGCCATTTCGAAAAGTTTTGGTTCGAAGCTATTATTCTAACAGCAAAAAAACGTATGTCTACTATAAGCAAAAAACATGGGCAATAAGAAATTGGGTAAATTTTTTTCAAATTTAAGAAAATGATTTTGCAAACAATGGTGTCATGACAAAGCATTTATTGTTGAATATATTTACTTAAAATGTAATAAATTCGTAGATCCCAAAATACAAATTTAAAATTTAATTATTCTTTGTGTGAGAAGCGTACGTACCAACTTGAAATAAAGGTGGATCGATACCGTTAGTTCAATGTAAAGAAAGTGAATCTTTAAGTGAAAAATTATCGACTAGCTAGCTACTTGAAATATTTCAACAATATAATATAAAAGTTAATATGTATTTCGAAAAAAAAATATTGCATACTTTTCGGAGAATAAGCAGAAATTAGAAAAGAGCGACCATTATTTAAGGGATAATAGGTTAGAGTTATGATAAATAATTATGGGTTTTGATAACAAGATAAAAGTCTGACAGAAATTTTAAGACATTTTTTTTGAAGAACTAGTGTGACTTATAACAGTATATACAAAAATTTATATAACCAAGGATATCTAGATGTTATTCAAGTAAATTTATGTTTGCTGATGAATCTATACAGGATAATTATAGTCTACTGATGAATCTAATACGGGATAGTATAGTATAAGTTGAGAAAGTATAGCAACTATAAATTTATATTTACTTTATTAATTATTTTCCAATATCCACAAAATATATTAAAAGAGGACTCCAGTTAAGAAAATTTTTTATTTGAAAATATTGACAAAACTCCGGAATAAATAGAATCAAAATTTTGTCATAAATTTAATTTCAAGAAAGTAGTTTTGAAATATTGTGAATGAGTACTGAAATATTGGGAATGGATCACCTTTTTTGCAATTTTGGTTAGAATTTTATTCATAAATTTATCTTTAATATATCAATTTCTCTTATAACTTAATTATTAAAGATTTAATATTAAAATCTGTGAAAAATTATTTTCGCAATATATTTTTATTTTATTTGTCTCTCTATTGTACATGATTGTACGTACATTGAGTATTCATATTGCACCTCAGTTCAATTCAAAATATTTAAATTATGAATTATTGCCATATTTAAATTATTGATTAAATTACTCGTAATACTGCACTATTTTGATTTCAATCGAATTTAACAAAAAGTGCTTAAACTAAAATCGAAAAAATTGCAGAAACAGTTTGCAGTTTTCCTCTAGCTGGACGAAATTTAATTAGAATTTTGCTTTTTTTTTTTATTTGTAAAGATGAAATATTTGGGGTTATTCTTAATAATATTTGTAGTTCTTTTATTATAAATGTACATACACTAAAATGTGAAGAAATTTCAAAATGCGAAGTTTTTATGTAAAAAAAAACTACGAAATAAACCGAATTTGAGGAAAATTATAAATTTCGATATATTGCGATATTATTCACAATTTAGAAATTCAAGCAGTTAAAAGGGTGTTAAGCCATAATGTATACCTACAAATTTTTGAGTTTCAGAAGTGCTTGTACGGTACATGCATAATACATAATTCAATCTTTATATACTAAATTTAAAAACTTGCTGTTTCCAATTAATTATTAATAGCAATTAATAACTTCTCTTAATTATTTTTCAAGTTAATAAAAATAAGTAAATTGCTTATTAAGATTCTCTTAAATTACTGAAATTTTTGTACTTCTCGCTGTCTTCCTTGTTATAGGCAATTCGGAAAAATACAAAAGGCAGTAACCGACATGAGTTAAAGTCAACAAACTTAAAGTTACAAAAATGGTGTTTGCAAGAAATGTAATAAATAAAATATTAAATAAAAATTATTCCTTATTCAGAAATTAAGTACGTATTCGTTTAAATTTAATAAAGTACCCAATGAGGTAATTTGTACCCATTTATTTAAAGAACGCAAAGAAACAATAAAGGTGTCTTGATTTCATTTCAATTCCTTCGCAATAAAATACAGAATAATTTAACAAAATTTACAAAAGTATGTGTACAAACCTTTTTCCTGTAATTCGGCATGCTACTTGTCTGTGATCTAGTAATTTGAGCACTTATTTTAGAAAATTACCATAAAATATATTTTCCCATAAAATATAAAATTTCAAAAAAAAAAAATTCTTTTTATTTTGCAAAAAAAATTTTCAATATTTTTAAGATTTATTTTTCAATTATCACAAAATTTTCACTTCTCTTGCTTAAATTTTTATATACATACAAAAATAAATATTTGTTTTTTATTATTAAAATTAAAAAAAAATTGTCTAACACTTTTCTTTTGAAAATTCGCGTTTTTTTTTCTGAATTCTTTTTTAGAAAATTACGAAAAAAAGATTTCTTTTGTGAAAATTTATTTTTTATTTGATTTGTACACTTTTTTTTCTTTATTTATTTATTTTTATATTTCAGATAATTTTCATTAATTTTTTTTCATAAAAATGTTTATTATAACAAAATATACAATAGAGAATAAAAAAATCAAAAATAAAATAAAATTTATAAAAAATGAACAACACGCGTTTTAAAAAATCGTATGATAAGATGCGCGTACTGTTGTTGTATTCAACGTTTGATTTAATATTGAACAATTTGAAATTTCGGAGACTATCCGGAAAATTTAGTTGCGAACATTTTTTTTTTAATTTTCTTTAAGATTTACACAGTCCGAAGAAGTGGTTTTCATTTGTAAACAAACTGACACTGGCTACAAAAATTTTATTTTTGAGAAATTTTCGAAAACTTTTTTTTTTTATTTCGACTAAATAAAATCGGAAAGAAAAAGAGTAGGAAAGCCAAAAAACGAAAAAAAAAACCATATTAAAATTTAAGAAAAAGAAAACTTAAATTAAATAATTAAGAAAAATAAATCGGAAAAACCACTAGCTACAGTTTTTATAATAAAAAAATGAAAAAAATTTTTTCATTATCCCTGTAAATTATGGGAATATTTAGTATAAATTCTTGTATGTGTAAGTTATGTAAGAATTTTATTTGTAATCATCAGAAAGTGTGGCTTCATTCAACTTTAAAATTTTGTAATTAAAAGGACGTAATCGTGTATCTCGCTATTTCACTAACCAAGTGAGAAGAAGGTGCATTATCGACCATGCAACTGTAAAAAAATTTTCCTATTGAATATCTCGTGCTTTCTGAAATGTATACAAATGTTTATCATTATTTATTTACTGGCGATAGATTCTGCCGATTGTTTGAGAAAAAATGCACAACTTCAGTAAATAAAAAGTGAAATACAAAAACGAGATATACGATTAGGCCGTGAATGATTTGAATAAATCTTAATGTATACAAGTAGAGCAAAAAAATATGTACGCAGTTATTTTGTGCTTAATTAGACTTTTTATAGAGAGGCTGCCGAGTAGCGAGTGTTTACTCTCATTAAACTTGCCTTTTATTTTTAATTTTAATATGAGAAAATTAAAACTTTCTTTCCTTTTTATTTCAAGAAATGAAATTGGGCATTGTCAATTTATAACTAATTACAAATACAACGTGTAGTTGTTTATATTTATTATTAATTCTTATAAGAATAATAATATGAAAATTTCTTCATATAACTGCAAAATAGATGGATGACAGTTAAAGGAACAAATTTCTCCTCGAGTTTGGACTCGAGCCTGTGACCTACCATTTTTTAGGCGGACGTTTTACCAACTGAGTTACAGAGTATGAAGAAATTGCTGGCAAATTGTTCTTCATATTGCTTTATACTATAACCCATTCCGATTGATTGATTGCGCCAACAATTTAAGAAAAAATTTTGAAATTATAAATTTTAAAATTCAATTATAAACTCAAAGACAATTTTTCAACACACTTTTATATTAATTGGTTCCCGTTAAACTTGTATAGTACATATACGCGTATATTTCTTTCGGAAAAACAAATGAAAACTAAAATGAAAATTTATTCGAATTGAAAATATTTATACGCTTTCTATACATACTTATATTCATGCATATATATGTATGTATATGTGTAAGCTAAACTGTCTATCAAGAGAGCAAACTTTTAATCATGCTGTAAACATTTTTCGGATCCAAAAGGAAAAAACAAAAAAAAATCGAGAAACAAAATTTTCATATAAAATTTTTTTTTGTTTTTTTTTTTTTGGCTCTTTTAAAATTTTTTTTTTATTTGTTTTTCGAATTTCACTTTGCCGTTTTATTGAGGAATTTTCAAATCTCACGCTTAATCAATTGGGTGAAATTTTGAATTTCAGAACAGATTTTTACTTATTATAAAAAAAAATAAAACTTATAGATTTTTTTGTATATGGGGATTTAGTCGCATAAATGTAGAATAAAATTTTTGTATGTATTTTTCTGAATCACCTCGTATTATGTGGCGTCTTCTTAGTATATAAGAGCATTTGTGTATTATAGTGATGAATTGTCATAAATATTCATTTAATTTCAATGCTCATTAATATTAATTAAGAAACATTGTTTTTCACAGGATTTTAAAATTTTTAATTAAATATTTTTTTTTTAATTTAATATTATTTGGGACATGAAAATTATAAAAATTTTAGTAGCAAGATCAAGAATTTTAAAAATTTTAGTACCAGTTAGAAGTAGTAAACATGTTCTTATATAAATTCAAAGTTTATTGTTATTTAAATTGTTTATCCAAAAGTTAGTTGTAGTTCTTTTATTCACTCATGCTTTGTTTTAAATTGTTTATTAATATTTTATATTTTTATAATTAATCTAAGTACTTAGCACATTATTTCCATATCGCTTCTACTGCATTACCAATTGCTTTACTTACTCGCTTACATGATGAAATTATTGTTTGATGCTCCTAAATCTCCCCTTGTACATCTACATATTATGGTTTTTGTGAAATTTTTACTTTGGATTACAACAAATGTTGGAATACTTTAATACTAATCTTGTTTGACCCAGATCATCGTCTAATAAATGTCTAATAAATTGTTATTAAACTAAAATATATTAACTGTATAATGAACCGGAATAAATATTAAGTAATATTTAAAAAAGAAGATGTACAAAGTGTACTTCCCATTGAATTACAAGGGAGAGCTTTCTTGTTTCTTGTTAATTTCCTCAAACTTAAAGATTTGAAATCAGTTTTTGAAAAATTACAAAGATTTTCATTAAGACTTAGTTCGCATAATAAAATCTTTTTTTGCAACAGTTTTATTAATGACAACATAGGTTCAGCAAATCATTTATCAGTGCTTTTATTAAAAAAAAATTTTGGAATTTACTTAAATTTTCCTATATGAAACACAAGTTTTTACAAAAAATGAATTTATACAATTATTTGAGAAGTATTTTTACATTTTCACTATGAACCAATTATCTAACAGTATTAAGGAAAGAATATGCAATACCCTTTTTTAAAAACAATGAGAAAACCTTAAAGAAAACAAAAGCTGTTCAATTTTTCAATAGTAGGTTTAAAAGAATGCAGGTGAATTGGTGACAGAATGCAGGTAAATTTGTGAATCTTGAAAATGTTTCAATCAGTTCTTAACGTTAAAGGTAAAAATCATTAATAGCACATTTGTTTCAGTGGCAACTGATTCGAGGTCCATGTGTCTTTTGAAAAATGTTTATAAAATATAAAAAAAATTTCTAAAATACAAAAAGTGGTCGAGTTTTTGGTTACAAAATAAAAGCACATTTTAAAATTTCATGCTATTTCCAGTGGTAAAATTAAAATTTTATCAAACTATTACTTTTTAAAACTAAAAGAAATTTTTTTTCCAAATCAGTGACGATTGTTGTCCAAAATATTTTGTTCTAGTTTCAAAATTAACATATGTACGAGTACGTATGTAATTTATTTAAATTTTTCCAAAATATGTGAATTGGAAAATTGTTTTCACTTTCTTAAGAACAAGAAAACACTTAATAGGTCTTCTTAGTTTGAAAAATCATTTAATTTGATTGCACCTTATTATTTGAAAACAAGAGTATGCATTTTGATTATTGTACGTACGTCGTACACCTACAACAAAAAATTTCAATTTAAAATTATAAATTGAGCGCGAAAAATTTTATTTTGAAAAATTCTATATAAATTTTAAATGAATTTCAATGAGCGAGTAATTAAAAGAATTCTTAAAAATTATAATGAAATTGCAATTTAATTAATTTGTTTTAAAAATGTGATGAATATTTTGTGTTGGGTGTTTTTTTTTATGAAAATTTTTGATGTAATAATAAATTGTAATGTTTTTTAATATTTTTGAGAATTTCGAAATTAAGATCTTTATACATGAATTTTTTAAAATGTTGTAAGATATCTAATTCAATATTTTTTTACAGATTTTTTGATATTGTAATTGGATGTTCGTTGTTTTAATTTTTTTTTGAAATTTCTTTCCCATTAAAATGGTTTATGTACATAGGTCACATGTACATTTAGTTGGAAGCCATCTAACAAATATATTTTTTATAATAAAGTTAAAACTACATCCAATAACTCCAATAATGTTCTACATTGATCAGCATTGTTTTACGGACAATTTTCTTTTTTTTCAGTGTACATTAAAAGCTTCTTAAAAATTTTGTAAAATTGAAACAAAAGGCAATCGGTGAGACCATAAATGCAAATTGCATGTAAACAATTTTGAGTTAGCGGATCGCCAACCATTTTTTTGCATAAATGTTAAAAAAATATCGTTATGTTTTAAAAATTTTGTTAGAAAAAAATGTTCTGAGAAAAATTTAAAAATAAAATCTGGAAGAAGAAGGAACACTTCTTGAACTTCTATAGATTGTAGATTGCAAAGAAGGGGTAAAAATGCGCCGTTGAATCTCGATAAGTTTTATAACAAATAAAACTTTTATAATTCCTAATTCTAAACTTTAAAATTTATTGATTTAGTTTTTAATATGAAAATATTAAGCTTTCGTAGAGGAAAGTGTGAATGGCATTTAACAGAGTGTTTTATTTGGCATTTAATTGGTAACTCTGTTTAGATTGACCGTACTGATTTTACAGCCCATTTAATATTTAATTGATACATAAACTATTAAATCAGTATACATATAATTTCTCAAAATATAAGGAAACGCTTTTTCAGTTTGTTTAAAAACTGCAGCAGTAAACTCAGAATTTTATATAATATAATGGCAATTCTGCAGTTCTCATATTGCCACTTTGTGAATTTTTATTTTTTGCAAATTTGGAATTTGAAATTTTTGTAGAAGTAATTTTTGCTATCTGAGTTATTTAAATTCTAAGCTAGAGCTGCAAATACCTTTGTAATATTAAAAACACCCATTAATAAAAAGTAAAATTTGTACAAACACACATACATGCCTCTGCTCACATTTTAAGAGGTATATACAATATGTCAATGCCTTATAAAATGTTATTGGAACGTTCTTTACAAATACAAAATGTATTTTCAATATTAAAAGATAAAGTCTTAAAAAATATTGATAAAGCACGAATGATTTAGATTTTCTTTTTATATTATATTGTGTGTGAACTTCAAAGCAAAAAATATACTAAAAATAAAATGCGCAGGGTACTTCATATATCTACACAATGTACACGTATAAATAGAAAAAACGTGAAGAGTTATTTCAGGATTACCCTAGCAATAATTAAAATGAGTAGAGCAAAAAAAGTAATTGGAGAGTCTTTCCGCACACAGGAATTTACGAACTTCAATGATAATCATCTTATTGATGGTAATATGAAATTGAAACGATTGTAATAAATTTAACATGCCAATAAACAACTGCTCAAAATATAGCTAATCCAAATTTAGTTAACTTTAATTTTTATTACCTAGACATATTTCCAATAAAAATAATTATAATAATAACTTTAAATTATTATTAATGGTAAGTATAGAAGAATTTACACGCGTCCCAAAGAGCATGTCGTCCCAAAGGAGGTTTTATGTATCACAAAGAAGGTATTACATGCTGTAATAATTATTAACTAATTAAACTAATTAAATAATAATAAATTTTTATAAATGTTATGTGCTTAGATAATAACTGTGATATTGTATCGTAATTCCTGTTTTAATAAGATATCACAAATAAATCAACAGTTTAGTTTTGCTTTTAGTTTTTTGTTTTCCGAATTTCTAAAAGAATGTAAGTTTAATTCAGATATTAAACCGAATTTGTACTTTTTTTCGATTAAATATCTTGACTGGTCAGTGGTCATCTTTATCTATAATCATTAAAAATTCTTTATGTATGTATACATACATTTTTATTTGAACGATATTTTAAAAGTATTGCGTGCTTTATAACAATTTTAACCTAAACTAATATTTTCTTTATATCTACTTATATACTTACAAAAAAGCCAACCCTAAAAGTTAAGAATAATAACAATATTTTATTATATTCATGTTATAAGTATGTATATATAAGAACACTATTAATAAATAATTTTATCAAATCTATCTTTAGTTCATAAAAAAACAGAAAAACCTAAGTGTGTAATACTAAAAAGGATTAAGGGTGTAATTTTTTTTATTCTGGTGACACGTTCTCAAAATTTAATAAAAATAAAATTTATCCTTGAAAAAATTAATTTCAATGATTCATACTTATAAATAAATAAAATTTTAATTAATATTTTATATTTAGTACAATTAAATATTTTAATACGACCAGTCCGAAGCGCTCCTTTATAATTTTTAATGTTAGGAATTTGCTCTTCTTTCAAAAAATAAAATAAAAATTTATTTTACTTAGGAATTTGCTGTACTCCTGAATTTATGCAAAATTTTTAAAAGATCCAAAATGTGAAAACTTTTTCATGATATAAACGATGTATACAGTGAAATGTTGATGCAACATGTTTATAATAATATGTTATTTTCCTGTAAGAAATTATTTAGGTACATGTGGTGCACAAAATTTCAATATTTCACAAAAGGTATGCAAAATTTGGTTAATTTTTATTTTTTTTATAGTAATTTAAGTAATCAATTTAAAATAATGATTGGATTGTTGTTAAAATCTAGTAGACTGAGTACAGCACGAAATCATTTTTATTAATAAAATGGATGAAATGTTTTTAAAAACTAACTATTAGAAGCATTAATGAATAAAAGTATTTTTTTTTTCTTCTTTCTTTTCACTTCTAGGAGGAGCATAGGACTAGTGCATATCATAGATTGTCATGCCCCAGTTTCATTGCGTCAGAGTTGAGAATAAAAATGTAGTAGAGACAAAATTAGGTACAAGTATTGTGAAAAAACTGGATAAATTAGTTTAGATACAATTTCAATGTCAGACAACTCGTCTTCAACCCCACCAACTTCTCAATTTATCTTAAAAAAATATAAAAAATATCAAAAAGGACGAATTTATAGTTGTTAAATATAAAATGAATTAAATGTGATCTGAACTTGTTACATTTGCTTGTATTGTGAAAGTTTACACAAACCATTAGCATTTTTTCGAGGCAATTTCTCTTTCTTTTCAATGTGATTCTTTTTTCTCTTTCTTGAACAATGTGGAATATAATGGTTTCCCAAAAAACTCTGCATAAATAGCAATGGAACATTTCAAAGTTTACACAATGTTTACTATTATGAAAGTCACCAATTTTCATATTTAAATGTAGGTGAGTACAGAATATAAAAACTTGCTCCTTTCTTAAGTTGTAGGCAAAAGGGAATAGAAAGGCAATACTCTTGTTTTTTTATATAAAGCAAGAAATTTAATTTAAGGACATTTAGGTAATAAAAGCAGCCGATATTTTTGCTGTATGTTACAACAAATCAGAGATTTTTTTTGTAAAATTTCTTATTGTATAAAAGTTTGTGTAATTTAAAAATCAATTAAGAGGCATTTAGGTGACCGAAAAAAAAAACAAAAGTGACCCAAAAAAATGGAAAATGTCATTAATTATACACACAACTATACAAGTATACATCGATTAACGTAATTTGTTTTCCAATTTGGTTTACACACTGCAAATTTTTATTATCCTTGTTGCTTATCTCACTGTCAATCTAGTTTACAAACTTAATTGATTATTTGAAATCCAATTCAATATTTAAAATTTTTTTTATACCAATATTACAAAGTGTAAATCTATTCATGTATTCACAAATAAATTAAAATAATCAATTAAATTGTATTAAATCAATGTCTTCTTTCTTCATTGCATACAATTTGTGAGGTATTGTAATCGAATCAAAATTCACGTTTTTCACCTAATTTAGATTTTTTCAGTCTGTCTGTCTTTAGTTGAATCAATTTTTATATAGAAATTTATTTGTCTCTTTCTTTTACTTTAGTAATTAAAATAACTTATAAGTAATAATCAATTTTTATGTTCCCTCTTTGATTGTCTTCTTGCAAAAGAAATCACCAGATTAGAAAGATTAGGGCAATACTTTCAGCATGGAAAACAATTTGAACAACAAATTACCCTAATCGATTTAAGTGGGTATATAAAAGTTGGATTTCAAAAACCAGAAGTTTACTGCAGGCGAATTTTATACCAAAACGATAGTTAAAAGTTTTTTGGAAATTTTAAAATATCGCAGTCTTTTATGTTTCGGAAGACTATTGTAATACTTTTTTTGTGGAATTTAAATTACAAAAACAGTGTTCTTAAATAAAATGTTCTTGTGAACTTTTCGGGGTACCTTTTATATCCATCCGGCGCTCTTTTACCAGTCTACAGAGTAATACCAGTCTACAGGTAATATGCAATCTAAATACTACTTCGCAAAATACGCATCGTATTCGGTTATGTGCTGACCATACTTTTTTTTTTTAATTTCTACAATAATTCTAAAAATAGTGAATAATTTGAAAGTTCACAATAATGTTTTTACTATTTCCTATGTACAACTCGTACAAAAATGTACTCATAAATCAAAACCAAATTCATTTTTACAATATTATTACACAAAATACACAAAATATAATTATTTTGACCTCAGACTTTTATTTTTTATAAATAATATAAATGTGTATGTAGTGTATATATATATATATGAATGTACGTTTGTTTATGTGTATATTTTATAAGGGATGTTTTGTTATTTCTAGACGTATAATGCTTTATGTACACAAATTTCATTTTTTATTGTCCATTGATGAGTCCAAAAATAAATTTTTCTTTTTCATTTCTTTTTCTATTTCATTTTGATCTTTATATAAATTTGATGTGACATAATGAATATCGAAATCCATTCATGATCAATGAAAATCATAATTAAGTATGAAGTTTTAAATATGTGGGAGGACAATGATATAAAAAAAATTATTCAAATATTCACATGAATGGGTTGACAGTAAAGTGTACGTATAATTTTCATTGCAGATTTTTAGATAATTAGCAGTTTATATAAAAGATCAGATATAAATTGCTAAAACAAGAACGAATTTAGTTGTTTAAACAGTCTTTAAATTAATATTATACAAACTGTATGATTGAAATATTCCGTCATCCCCAAAAATTTGAAATTTTTCCATAATTGCATTCTATACCATCGTGCAAAACTGCGTAAATCAAAAATCCTTAATTATTTTTTAGAAAATGTAGCCCTATGCAATTAACTACATTTTTAGGAGTACTTCTATCTTGAAATATATCGTTGGAATGTGTTTAAATATAAAGCTCATTAAGGTCTCGTGTCGCTAATGTATAATGTGCGAGCAATTAATAACATTATTAAATAATACTACATTAAAAAATAAAAAAATATTTTTTAAAATTAAACTATGAGCCAACATTTTTATGAATATATGAATGCAAAAACCGTCGCGTAGTCAAAAATTTTCATTAATTACCTTAATTTTCAATGTAGATTTTCAAATTTCAAAACTAATGTCAGCCAAATCTTTTCTAAAGAAGATTCCCAATGGTCAAATTTCAAATGAAAATTTCAAGTCAAATATTTTAGAAATAATTAACTTGCAAAAATAGTTGGAATAAAAAATTTAAATACATTTTATATCCAGAAAAATGCTTTTATGATTCAAAAAAAAAAAAACTTGAGCATTGGCAGAAAAAATGATATTTTGCAAAATTGTCAAATAAAAAGAGTCTAAGCAATTAAAATGCACAGAATTTCAGGATTTATAGAATAATATATAAATTTTTTTGCATGTGTTATTCTTTTAAACTCTAAAACTTACAATTCCACGTCTAAAAATTAACAAACAATTTAAAATTGCATCAGTATTACCAAAAATATGAAAAAAACCAGAAACAATCAAGTAAATAAAATATAATTTTTTTCTTATATTTATGTATGTGTGTATGTGTCTTAGTTGAAACTTGTATGACAAGGTTGTTATGTGTGGTTTTCCATTAAATCAATTTTTAAAAAATTCTAGCTGTCACACAATACCTACTTAATATTGAGCGGTACAACCACATTTTTTCCTTATTTTTATTTGTTCCTAATTCTTTTTTAAATTTATTATCATTTTTTTTTATTTTTCGGGTTTCCCGTAGAAAATATCAACGTGGAAAACTTTATTCAACCGCTATATTAGTGAAGTGAAAAAACTAAAATACCTACTGGCACCGTCAAATAAATAATAAAAGAAAATTAAAAAAAAAGGAAAAACTACAAAAAACTAAAAACAAAAAAAAAGAACGCTAAAAAGAAAAATTAAAAGAACACATTTTTTTTTTAAATGGAAAATTAGTGCAAGTTTTGTTCTCATGACGGTGTGGTCGCGTGTTCTTTTAATTTTCATTCGCATTTGTTAGAATAATACATACAAACATATAATAATTTATACGGGAAATTGCTAATTACAAGTACTGTACATTTGTAATATTTGAAAAATTATTAATTGTTCTACATAGAATTGAAAAGTTAAATATTCCAATTAATTAAAAATAGTTGTTCTTTGTCAAATATATTAAACTCAAGTTCTCACAGAATAAAAATATTTTTGTTATATCATCGTCATTAATGAAAAAATAAAAGAAATTTTCTTAAATATTCGGAGAGATCTAAATTAAAAATCATTTTTAATATAAAAATATAAAAAAAATTAAAATTGTAAAATCAATAAAATTAATAATTTTATTACCATAATTTTTTAAATTTATGCTTTTTACAAAAAAAAATATTATTAATTTCAAATATCAAATATTATTTATACACATATACATAGCTATATCGTATATTTGGCCTTCTATATGAGCGTGTTCATTTCTGGTGGCAGTGCGTTTCTAGTGATAGTGTTCATTTGAACTTAAACGATTTTGATAGTAAAAAAATATTCAATTTTATTTATAGATTATTAAATTAATCCTTCATATACAAGAAAAAAAAAATTTATATAAAATCTTAGACAAGAAAATAATTTGTCTTTTTTGATAAATTGAAAATTTGGAAAAAAAAAGAGAAAAACAAAATGGTTTCAAATCAACCACCCGAGAATTCTAATGACACTGTAATTAATGATAAAAGCAATGAAAATCAATTAAATTCGACAAAAAATAATAGTAGTCAACCAGAAAATAGTAGTGAAAATTGTGAAAATGTTAATAGATGCGCAATATGTCAAATTGAAAGTAAATTAAGATGTTCAAATTGTAATTTTGTTTATTATTGTTCAGCTGCTCATCAAAAACAAGATTGGAAACAACATAAACAACAATGTCATCCATTTATTGTAAGAAAATTTCTATTTATTAATATTTTGAATTTAGAGCACAAATTAATAAAGAAAAAATTTGTTTTGTTGTAAAAAAAAAATATTTTTTACTTCAGATTTTTCGCGCCAAAAAAAAATTTTATAATTATGTCGGTATAAAGTTTTAAGATTGTTATTTGTACGTCAACACTCCCGTTCCCCCAGTTTTCTATTAAAGCAACTGATGTTGCTCTCTTTCATAATTTTTATACTCTTATGCATGACAGAGGGATGCCTGATTAGTGACTGAGTCATTTTATTCAACTGCAAAGTCAACTGTCTTATATGATTTAACCAGTTAAAAAAGGCTAATTTTATAAAGTGCTTCTCATTAGTTAGAAATTTTCCAAAAGATGATTTAAATTTTAATACTGTGCTTTTTAAATTTTTTCTTAAAATATTGATCAAATTTGCTTTTTCTTTCGACCCTCAAAATAAGTAAATGGTAACCACATTTGGCAATTTTGAAAAAAACGAAATGCAAAACGAAAATATTCTTCTCACTTGAAAATTATGCTATACAAATGCATCAACACTCATTTACTTCGATTTTACCCGAGAAGTAGAAAGGCTAAATACAAAATTGTGCGCTAAAATTTGGAAAAAATTTTTGTATTTTTATTAAGAAACATTTTAAAAATCCTATGTGCAATAAAGGTATTATTGGAATTTTTGAATGTTATTGAGAAAGTACACCACATGGTTGATTATGTGAGAACTATATCAAATTTTTTAAGTTTGTTGACAACTCTGTAGTAAATATACAGGTAATATTTCTAAATTGCTTTTTGAACTATTTATATTTAATTACATTTTGTATCAATTATAACTTTGGAATCGGTGTTATAAACCGTGCTTATGTGGAATCCAGATTTGCTATATCGGTGGAATTATAATTGAGAATGAAAATGCTCAAGTATTAGTAAGAATGATAAGGTCAAAACTATGATTGCCATTTAATTCCGGTGATTAAAAAATTATTCTTTTGATGAAAGGTAAATTTAGTAGTTCCTTTACAATAAGTAAGTGATGAGTAAAAGATTTATTTTTTTAAAATGCAATAATCACTATGTTAATAACAATTTTACAATTGTAATACATAGACAAAATTTTTCGGAATTATTTGACTTAAGAGTCTTATGAATGGACTGTCCCATATTCCATAAAAACTTCATTTTCTTTCAACATAAAATATGATATACTTTATTTGCACTATTTTCTTCAAAAAATTTCATATAGTTTACAACTCCATAATAATTTTAACATCATGAAATTGCATTAAACATGAACCGGTGAAAATGTTGAAAAATTGCCAATAAAAATATTTTATTTTTTTACAAAATCTTATTTTTAAACATGTTTTATTTTTATTATTATTTATTTTTAATTGTTACATTTTGTTACTATTACGAAAGCAATAATTGGCAACTGATTCTTTTATTATTTATTTTAGATAAAATCAAATGAAAAATATGGAAGATATTTAGTTGCCAGTCGTAATATTAGAGCTGGAGAAATTGTACTTAAAGAAAAAGCATTAGTATCTGGTCCATCACAGATTACTGGACCAGTTTGCATTGGTTGTATGAAAGGACTAGAAGAGGATGATGGTCATACAGAATGTGATAATTGCGGTTGGCCTATTTGTTCAAAAGAATGCGCAAAGATACCGGAGCATGCAGTTGAATGTGAAATAACAAAGGCGCGGGGTAAGGTAAGAGTTAAATTTTAATTAGAAAGGCTTTTAAAATGATTAGTATTTTGTTAAATGGGCAAAGTATTTAAAATTAAAATTTCTTGAAATAGTGGATAGCAACTATGTAACCAAACTATGTTGTTCCTTCACTTATTATTGTTCACCATAGTTTTCAAGCAAGCATATTTTTTTCAATAAATGACATTGTAACAATTCAATCACATTATTGTGTACAATTGCAATTATTATTAACACAATTATTGTTGTGTAAATTTTTAGATTTGGCTGTTCATAATGATTATTATAACTACCTGCTTCATTTGCTATTATTATACATACATGCATGTTTGTACATATGTAAATGTTTTATATTATCCTACAACATGGTACGCCATATTTTCCATGTTGACACATTGTATACAATTTATTTGAAGTGTAATCTTTTTATATGCAATTCGTAAATAGAATAAACCACGACGTTAATTTAAAAAACAGTGAAGAAAAATATCATGTTGTCTATTTTAGAATTGTCATATAATTTATGAATATAGAATGATTCTGACAGACGACTTTATAATTTTTTACATACATACATATGTATATAGAAAATAAATGATAAATGCTAGATATGTATATTCCCTCTAGTTGATTACACCATGTTTAATCGATTTTCCTCTTTTGTTGAATTTGAAAAACTGAGATAAATTTCTATCACTATCAAAACATACATATTCTTCATCGTTTAATTGGATCTCCTTTAATTGAACAACTTGAGATGTACATTAACACAGACATTGATTCAAAATTAAAACTTAATTATCTATGAGCAATTAAACAGAAAATCAATGGAAGAAGTGATTTTATATTTAGTCAAAAATTTAATCTTTTTTTGCACCGCTTTTTCAACTCTGCGTATTCATATTAATGCCTAAACTGTGGACTTAAAAACCCCGTTTTCTTTCACCGATTGCTTAATTTGACGAGATTTTTTTAATTGATTTACCCGCTTAGTTGAATCAAAAATTCTGTACTCTTCTCGGTGAAAATAACCGGAGGGAATAGTTTTTTAATTTATTCGACGAACATTACTTATGATACATGTACCAAGATCGAATTTTCATAAAAAATGTTGAATTACAAACTACTCCCGATTAATGCAAAAACTTGCAACCATTGTGTCGTTGTACACGCTGGTTTCTATGAAACAAGAAAAAGCACCCGGCCGTTTACGTTCAGAAATATACAAAATAACTTCAACACCGGTTCTTTTGGCGAATGAGCATCTGAACTCACTATTTCAAAAAATTAAACTCACAATCCCAAAATACATTACCAGAGTTTGTATATGGTACCTTCTTGAAAATACCTTTTAAGAGTTTGCTTTACTTTACTTTACTCCCGATATGCTTGAAATAACTACATATCTTTAATTGAAAGGTAAAACGTAGGGTTAGTCTGATTTGGTGAGAAAAACAACACTGAACTGTTTGATGATGGCAAATCACAGTCATAAAAAATTACCACAAATAGATCAAAAAGTTACCAACCAAATGACGTGTTTTTGGGTTACCAAACAATTCAATGTACCGACCTCCCATTTTTCTAATAGTAAGTCAGTGTAATGTTATACCATATTTAAAATTTTGTTTATCTTGTTTTTGTTATTATTTTTTTAATTATTTGTTTATATTTTCCTAATTATTTGTCTACTCACAAAAATAAACGCAATAAAAAAAAAAATAAAACAAACAAGAAATTCATGTAAAAAATAATGTTTTTTGCACTTTTCCAAAAGCAATTGAGAAAAAAGTGCTTCATACTTTCACTTTGTCCGTCCACCTTGGTGTCTGTTTTAAAAATCTCTATATCCTTTAACTTTTAATTAACTTTGTTTCTGTAGAGAACATTTCCACCATTTCTCCTCTCTGCAAAAGTTATAGTTCCTTATAGTCCTAAAAATGTCATTGTTTGACTGTATTCCTGGATATCAAACACGTAGAGAGTTCGCCAAACGCTTCATATAACGCCCAAAAAGACGGTTGAACATTGAAAAGACAAAAAGGTCATCCAAGAACGGGGTTTTTCTAGATGATAATTCTTAGGACTCTGAAGTTTTAGTATCTTTTAGATACCATTAAATAGTTAATTACGTTAGAATAAAAATTTTTTTTCACCTATATCTTTTCTTTAGAAATTATCGCCACTCTAAATTTGTAAAATTTCAGTTTTCAATTTTCTGTAAACTCACTTACTCAACCGTTGAACTCGACGATTGTACTGAGGTTTCTTTCAATTTCTCTTCTCTCATCCCAAATGAGAAAATTTTAATGAAAGTAGTTTCAGCGCCGCCAGCCGCTAAACGTGTAATTAGTACTAGAATAATTTATTATATAATGTTATACAAGTGAAAAATAAATAATTTAAATGGGTAGTACTTAGTAGATTTCTACTGTAGAGAACACATTAAATTTTTCAAAGGAAGAGTGCTACTTAAACACACCATTACTGATTTGATCCGAATTTATTTAAAGAATAAATTGATGTAAAATAAATCTTGAACACCAGAATTGCTTAAAGTGTTTGAATCATGGAATTGAGATATTTTGTGTCGGAACAAAATATTTTTCAATATTTTTACAAAATTGCAATTGGTTAGCAAAAAAATCAAATTTTGAAATTGTAAATACCCATAAATTTTGTATCAACAGTTTTATATGAGGAATTAAATGATATTCGATTGCTGCTATAAGACCCATGTAACTTTTAACGAATACCATTCTATTCTCATATAAGAATGAGCAATTGAATGATATTCGATAAAAGTTATTGCATTTTCGAAAGGTTTTATTACAATGATTCGAAAATTTGCTTACTTAATTTGGTTAACACTCTTCTATAATTTATGATTTTCTAGATCGCAGTACTTTGTTGTTTCGGTACTGCTTTCTACCAATTTATTTGAATTTTTAATTTACATAACTTGGGTTATAGGGCCGAATTATCGATGCATACAGAACATTAATCTTAAAATCAGAATTTTTTTTTTTAAATATTTTGACAGAAAAAGGCTATAATTATTGTTTCAACGATATGAATTTACACAAGCATATTATCCGGTACGCGCGTATACATATTGTTTGTACGATATAAATAAAATTATTGTATGTACATATGTACGAATATAAAAAAAACTTAGCCGGGAAATTTTTTTACTTTCTTTTGTTCTATACTTTTCAATATTTGGTTTCAAAATAAAAAAAAATGTAATTAAATTTTTGGGCAATTATCCAAAATAGCAAGTAACAATAATTAACGAAAGAATGATCAAATTTAAAATATAAGATGTATACATATATAAAGACTTATACTATAGAGGAAGAGACTGGTGCGTAAAGAAGGAGAGTGGCCCAATTGTCTAACGAAAAATAAATTTTCAAAAATATATAAACAAAATTATATTTTTGTTTAAAATAACAAAAATTGATCTTCAATTTGATCAATCAAATATTATGGAATATCATTTTTCATCTACACATTATTTGTTGATTAATCACTGATTAAATCTTAGTCACAACCTTCATGATTACACATAATTATTATTTAAAAACGCAATTACTAAAGTAGGCATACAAAGAATTAATTATTGCTTCTTAAAAGATTATTAAATTTTTCGATTATTAAAGTACAATAAATCTATTCAAAGATGGACACTGTGAAAGACGAAAGAATGTCATTGTCACGAAAAGAATCAGATTTAAGGTTGTCAAACGCGAAATTTTAACCTTAAATATTACAGTTTTGAAGTTGTCAGAAGAATGCGAATAAAAATAGTTTGAGTATAAGAAAATACAAGAGTTTGAAATCCATGAATTCTCTCTAAGTCGTCATAAAATTTCAGTTGCTTGTGCTTCCAGATTTACTGTACGTGGTTAGATTGTTGTCAAAATAATGTAAAATACGTCAAAACAGAAGAACGAAATTTTTGTCTAATAATCTTTTAATAAGTTTGAAGAAAGTTTTGTTTTTTTAAATTGATCCTTTCTATTGGATATTAAAAATTAAAGCGTCTAACAATATAGTGAGAGTTTTAAAGTATTCATTGCAAAAGTCTCCAAAAATATTTTTCCTTGATTAATTTGTTTTTCTTCTATCAATTTATTGTAGGTGGAAATTTCTAATTATATTTCACCACATCCAATTTATCAATGTGTAACACCATTACGTTGTATGCTATTAAAGAAAACTAATCCAGAAAATTGGTCAAAATTAATCCAATTAGAATCACATGAAAATATTAGACGCGGCTCACAACAATGGAAAATCGATTATGAAGGTGTTGCAAAGTTTATACCAAAGTAAGTGATGCCTCAATAAATTTTTTTATATTTTTGTTTCTTTATTCTTTTAAAAATTCGAGTAAATTTTATTAAAAATACAATTCAGGGTGGTATTAATTTTAATTATCATGCTTGCACACAATTCGTTCATCTTTAGTGTTGCTTGTACATTACAAAGTCTTTATTTTTTTGTAGATTTTTTAGAACTACTGAATTTAGTGAAGATGAAATAATGAAAGTCACTGGTATATTACAAATAAATGGACATGAAGTACCATTATCAGAGCCACCATATGTTGCTATTTATAATCAAGCATCATTAATTGAACATTCATGTATACCAAATTTAACAAAAAGTTTTTCAAAACGTGGTGATGTTATTTTTTGGGCAACTAGATCAATTAAAAAGGATGTTAATTTAAGTATTTGTTATACGGATGCAATTTGGGGTACAGCAGCACGTCAAAATCATTTATTACAAACAAAATTATTTAAATGTGAATGTAGCCGTTGTAAAGATGTTACAGAATTGGGTACAAATTATGGAGCAATAAAATGTAATAAAAATGATTGTGATGGCTTATGTTTACCATTAAGTTTAGAGACATTAAATTCACAATGGAGGTAAGTAAAAGAATATTGAAAAAAAAAATTTCCTTTTCAAATATTTTTTAATAAATTTTGCATAAAATGCAGAGTGAAATTAATTGAAAATATTTAATAAAATTTAATTGAAGTTCGAAAAACTTTAGACTAAAAATATTTGTCTTGACCTTGTTCGTATTTAAATTGAAAAATAAAAACAATATTATCTATAATAAACAGAATTCCCGTATAATTTTTTAATTTCCTTGTAGATTTAATAATTTCTAAGCTTTAAGATTTTTGCCGGAACTTAAACAAGTGACCTCATATATTCGACGTAATACATGTAGGAATAGATTAAATTTTATTTTATTAATAGTATATTGATAATTCACTGATGAAACATAAAGTCGAGTGGTTTGATAACACTTAGATTTGAAATAATTGAATTTTTATTGAAATCAATTTAAAATTTTCGCAATTTAAGTAAGATAAGATAAAAATGCACCTATTATTATAATGAAACCGTTTCAGATGATTCAAATTTTGTCAAGATGTTATTCAAAAATTTAAAGCGGGAATTTCTGAGTACTAAATATTGAGTTAAGTTAAGAGTTATGTGAAAAATATTTCGAAGTTTATTTATTCAGTTAATATTAATATAGTACGTTGATAATTCTTACATTATTAATTTTAAAATCATAAGCAAAAAATTTTCCTATAATACGTTTAAAAACCTAATTATTACGTTATATATTAAAGTAAATATACTGTGTATACCTTTAGTAAATCAAATAAAGCTGCGCAGAATTCTATCTTGACAAGCTTTTAAATTTTAACCGTGTTATTTTTAGACTGGGGTTTATTTGTATAACAATTTTTACTTGTATTTAAACAATATTGAATTCTTATTGAACAATAGTCTTAGTGGAATACAATGAAAATGTTTGGTATCAATGGAATGAGCCACATTTACTACGAATAAAGTTTCTTTGTTGAATTTAATGTAGTATAATGTATAACAATAATGATGAAAAGAAAAATATTGTAATATTTAATAATATTGTCTAGTAATAAAGAGAGACAGACAGGGGTTGGTTGGATAGAGTAATTTTCAAGATAAGAAATTTGTAAATGTTATAAATGTTAAATGCTAACTATAGCAGGAATAGCTAAATTCTTGTAATCAAAATACAATGAACACTTTATGTTGGGACACAGAAAGGTTAATGTGCCAATTTTAAATTATTTTGAGTGATTTTATATACAGAAAAGGAAAATGTTAAAAATAGAAAATATTTTCTCTCAAAAATAAGAGTTCTGACAAGTTCTATTGATATTATTTTTTCTATCTAGAATTTATATTATAACCCCATACATATTTAAGATCGAAAATCAAAATTTATTCCAAAAATGAAAATTTTATTCGTTTTTCGGATTTCTTTTATTCGAAAAAGAACATAAATTTTAAGTTTTAAGGCTAGGCACATATATGTAAGAAGTGGTTTTTTAAAATTAATGGAAACTGTTTCACCGCTTTTGAATGTAGAGTTATTTTACACCTGAAAATTAAATTATAAATATTTTATCTTTTGCTAATATTATTTAACTTATCATTTTTGGTTATTTCTGACATAAAGACAACAAAGTTTTTTGTAGTACAAAACTTAATACACATTAAAGATGAAGTGAAACAAATAAAACAAATGTGCTTATAGCTAGATCGTGGATAATAGGCATTTAATATAATAGAGTACTGACAAGAATTTACTCATTCATATACTTATAATGAAACTTGAGTAACACCGTTCTAAACATAAAAAGCTTTTCAAAACATAGAGAACTCTCTAACGTGGTATATACCCATAAAATTGTTTCAAATTGGAAGCATTATTTGATATTTCCGATTGAAGATGAAAATTTGTTTTTGGGTAGTTAACAATCCCTTCCTTGCTAAGCAATACTATAGAAAACAATACTTCCCTCATATAAAATGTAATGTGGTCGGCGAAATATAACGTCATTTGGAAAATAAAATTTTCAGAATAATAAAGTATATTCATTCCCCCAAAATTGTGTCCATATTAAGTACTATTAGTATCTAGTTAATTTTAAAATCATTAATACAAATAACTGAATCCTAGATTCCTAGATTTATGCAATAGTTGAAACATTTTTAATTAAAATTTTAATAATGTTTTTTATAATACAAAAATTTCTGATCAAATTTTTCTTATTTGTCATGGAATTTTACAAAGAATAATAAGAGAAAAATAAATAAATATGTTTTTGTTTAATTCAGTGTGAATTTTGTATGAATGTGAGTAAATTTTAAGTTTTTTGCGTTGATAATATACAATTGAAAATATTAGAAAATATTCTTATGCTTCTTAAGAAAGGGGAATACTTCAGATACATAATTTTAAATTATAAAGGAAAAATTTAATACCTTAAAATAAAAGCGTCACCAAATATTGATCTAATTGAAATGAATAAATATTTTCGCAATAATTAGGTTATTCTAATATTAAAAATCAACAAGTACGTATGATTGTACGAACTAACTATGACCGTGACATCCAAAATGTGAGATAATTATTTAAAATTTTGGAATACCAAACATATAAGGTGTATATGAAAATGATATAAAAATGAGTATAAAAATGTAGCTGAGCTCATATCAGGTATCAAACTAGCACATATTTCACATCAAACTCGCTCATGTTTAAAACAACAATTAGGCTTTTCTGTATTCTTTATATGAGTCACCTTTTATAACAAGCTTTACTATTCTGTTAACTGTTGCGTATGGAAACTCCTATGATGCGGGAAATATTTGATCAAATATGAAAATTTGAATATAGATTGTCACATTCAGGACATTGGAATATTTCCTAATTTGGAAGCCAAATTGAAAGTCCCTTTTTAAAGCGGAATTCTTAAATTATAATATTCCAAGTAATTTAATTATCTTTTTCATTTTCATACAGAAAAATTGTAAAATTATAAAATCTATTTACAATATTGATAATAGGAGTGTGGTTTAATTTTGCCTTTTATATTATTTTGCCGCAATTTATTGCTAATAACCATCATCAGGATTTTGGTAATTTTCCTTAGATGCGCTTTTGTCTATGTAATCCAAACAAAATTAAACAGGTTATTTTTTAAATGGTTTCATTCTTGTGTATATTGTACATATAAGTAAACATTTGTTAAAATTTTCTCATTAAAATTATTTTGATTACAATTATATACATATACCTATTTACACACATACACACATACATACTAAAAATATTTAATTATAATTATTTCCAGATTGTCAAATACCTTTTACCTTGAAACCTTAAAATTATAATTCAAAGTTGTTTCATTTGAAAATATGAGAATAGCTATACGCAAATAAAATATTATTTATAATATTTCATTTTAAAAACAATTTTAATGAGCATATAAATTGTTGTGGATTCAATCTTCGAACTTTAGTTATAAACTTGCTGAATAACTGATAACATAAGAATTTAAAAATGGTGAATAATCGTAATATTTTAATAATTAAATTAATTTTCATTCTTATTGTAAATGTTATTGCATATCCGATAGATGAAAATATATTTAAATTGGACACAAGTTCAGTTTCAAATGATTCTAAGACGAATTCTATAATTAGTTTAGTTTTAAATAAAATTATGACTTCTTTAGCATCATTTAGTACATTTGCTGTTGTAAATTCAGTAGTAGTAGTTAGTCCTGAAGAATTGGGTGATTATTTTGAAGGTGATATGATATTAAAAGATTATCAATTTAATGAAATAATGGATCAAGGGAAACGATATACTAGAACGAGATATAGAACACAACAGAAAGAGTCAAAAGAGAGTTTATGGCCAAATGCTATTGTTCATTATTACATTAGTACAAATTTCTGTGAGTTTTTAATTTTAAAATTAATTTAATGTGGCGATTTCGGAAAAGATGTAGAATTACAAATTTTTTTTTCATTATTTTTTTTTTGTAAATAAAGCTAGCACTGCAGCAGTTTCAATTAAGGAAGCAATGGATGCTATTCAAAATACCACTTGTATACGTTTTATTGAAAAAACTACTGAAACTGTAGATTACATTCATTTTACCGTAAGTTTTTACTAATATACGTTATATATGATTTAAAAATATGCATAAGTGAAAAGAAAATGAAAAACTAATAATTTTTTCATTTAAAGAATGACGGGCCAGCTTGTTACTCAAACGTAGGCCGCCAAGGGAAAAGTCAAGCAATAAATTTGGTTGATTCATGTTTAGGAACTTTTAAAATTGCACATGAAATACTTCATGCTCTCGGTTTTTTTCATGAACAAAGTCTTCCGGACCGTGATAAATATATTAAAATCGTATACGATAATATTTTGGAAGATAAAGAAAATAATTTTGCAAAATATGAACTTCCATTTATAACGAAACTTGGTGTGTCATATGATTATGAAAGTGTTATGCATTATAGTGCAGTAGCTTTTTCAAAAAATGGTAAACCAACAATTATACCAGAAGATCCGAATGCTGTAATTGGTCAAAGATCTAAATTAAGTACAAAAGATATTAAAAAATTAAATTTATTGTATTGTGAAAGCAAATCATGATAATTTTTATTAAGAATCAAAAAATTTTATGTATTATTAGTTATAAGAAATGTAAGTGATGAATTTTTATAAGAGTGTTATAAAGTCCAATTTATTTTTAATTATATTAAGATATACTCATCGTACATGTGTAGAAATATGAAATATGAAGTAGTACTAATAAGTAAAGTAATCTCAAAATTTAAAAACAGGTGTAGCAACTCAACTATATTAAACATAAGTAATTCAAACATATTAGACGTATACGGATGTAATTTGGAAAAAATCGTTAACAAAATTTTTGTTTATTATAAAAATTTGTAAAAGTTGTTTCAATAAAATATTTGAAATAAGATGTAAGAATTTTATAGTTTTAATCTTTATCAGCAACATTTGATATTTGTTCACTGAAGGATACGG